GAGAGAGAAAATCGAAGTCCTCTACATTTTTAAGAAGATATTAATTATTAAAAATTACCGAATACTGGTTTTCAATAATTTTTTACTCAAGTACTATCAACTTCACAGAAAAACAGCAAGTGACAAAAATTATTCATTTTTTTTTTATAGAGTTTCGAACATTTTTTCAGAATTTTTTAGTACCGCATTCTCTCTGTTGATAAAAATAGTTGCCAATATACATATATATAAGAAAATGCAGTAAAAAATTAATTAAAAATTTTGAAAAAATTCTTAGAGCTCTTTGAGAAAAGAATAAACAATTTTTGTCTCTTGCTATTTTTCTGTAAAGTTGATAGATATAAGTAAAAAATTATTGAAAACCAATATTCAGCTGTTTTTAGTAATTAATATTTTATTAACTATTGCGAAAATTGCAAAATGATAGAGAATACTTTTCGACTCAGTTTAGTTCTCTCTATCAGCATGAAAATTTAGCGATCATTCTGGGATACCCTATATAATATATGCATATATTTATTTATTTATGCACAAGTTTTTTTCACGTATAATTATGTCAAATTATGTCAATTATATCAAAATTATATTTTATTGAATCATTGAATTATTATTCTCGAAATGATATATGTTAATGATATGAATTTTTCAGATTATGATAAATAAAATAAATATTTTGTAAAGTGGCAATATTTAAAATGTTGTGTCATATTTATTTTAGTAAATATATTGATAATAATGGACTTAACTCCAATGACTTTAATCTTAATATTGTCAAAATCATGATCTTGAGTGACCTTCAGAAAGTTTTAGCCCGTGCACATTGTTATTCATTTAAAAGTTATTAACAAACATAGTTTAAAAAAACATAATATCTTATATTTACTACGCGTATAATATTAAGAACTATCCCACATCCCTTGCTTACATAATGACTTTCTACGAAGTTATATAGAGAAATTAAAACTTCGATAGGTTAACGTTTTCTTATATGTTACGAAAAAAACAAAAATTCTATGATATATATATATATGATATATATATATATATTTTGCATGTTTTTGTAATTATCGAATTTTCAACGGACGCTCCAATTACAAAGAGGGAAGGTTTCGATAGCGCTATATTGAGTGCATTCAATACTACCACCTACTGAGCGTTCAATGAGCTTTTCTGATTGGTGTATATTTTTAGAAATAGAATATGCCAATCAGAGAGCTCACTGAGCATCCAATGGCTGAGTTTAACAGAAAAAGCAACTTTGCAACTTCTTTAATGAAAATTCTTTAATGTTGTAAAATTCTTTAATATGATCTTACCCTTAGTTCCTCACTGGATAAATATATAATCCAATCATATCTAAGAATTTTACAAATGGTTGCAAAGCTGCTTTTTGTGCTAAACGCAACCATTAATGAACCAATTTAAAATAAAATATTCTCATTGATAAAGTGAAAAGTTATTAGATACCAGCCAATGTGAGTGAATGTGTGCCATCACATTGTGCACTAACGGAATCCTCCCTTTCTCTCGCACAAATATCTTCAGGAGGTCGAATGTGTATCTTAAAATGAGATGGAAATTACAAAAGTAAGCAAATTCACCAGAGACCAATCAAATTCATAATTTAATTGGTCAATATGTAGTATCTTTTGCTCATTTTTGTAATTTTCATTTCATTTTAAAATCCACAATTGACCTTCAGGCACAAAATAAAAGTGACATAAGCAAGTATCTTTTCATTTATACTTTTCATATTCTAACAATTTCCCAATAAAATTGAAAAACTGGAGATTTTTCAAATTTTCTGGTAAATAATTGGAGAATTCTAAAGATTTCTAAAATAAAAAAAATGGAAGTTTTTGAGCTTTTTGGTAAAAAAAAAACTGGAGATTTCTAAAGATTTCCGAAATTTAAAAAATTTTTTAAAATAATGGAAATTTTTGAACATTCTGGTGAAAAATTGAAGATTTCAAGTGAAAAATTGAAATTTTTGAATTCTGATTTAAAGATTGTGTCAGCGCGTTGGCAACACTGGCCCAAAGTCAACCGCCAATCAGTGATCCCTTTACAACCGAGCTTGATACGTGTGATTAACTAGTAACTTTCTATTAAATTATCTTAATTTCATCAATATATTCAAAGAATAATGTATTAAACCGATACAATATACATCAAAATAATTAATTAAATACATATCATATATATGTTTAAACGTATCGCTAAAATTTAAGATAATTCAATAGAAAGTTACTAGTTAGTGCCCATATCAAGTGTACGATGTGAACTAGGGTACAGTAATTCAACTCTACATCGATCGCGGGCTATTGCATTCGTGGTTCACGCCATTCACGGTCAGATTGGGTCAGTCGTCTGGAGTTAATTGTCAATTACTTTATTATAAAAAAAGCGCACGGTGAGTACAAACGAACGTGTACGCACACGGGAGTGTGTACGTATTGTAGACAGCGTCTTTTTCTTTTTCCAATTTTAATCTCCACCGATTCCATTGGAACACGTGCTCGCCTCTCGGTAAATGCAGTTTGCAAAACCAGAAATAGTATTAAATGACGATGGAATTCATGTATTTAGAAGGATAGGAAAATCAGCAGACTCATGATGCTTTGTTCTCTTCTGTCGTTGAATACCCTTCAGTCAGATATCTGCGTGACTTACGTCAGATAGTAGACTTACGTAATACATTTAACCCTGGCTCTTAGCCATTGTTCGACTATTCCGAATACATTTTTGGGATCGTACGAAATGCTAGTTCTACATCCGGAGGGAAATTGTTACAACGAAGGACTGTTAGAGACATGGCCGCGATCAATTGATTGAAAAATAAAATTGCTCTGATTTTCAGAAGAGCCTTTCTATCAATTGACAATGTCAATTGATAATGCAATGGCTTAATCGTTTTTTCAATTATAGTAATCGCGATTATTGCAGCTGTCTTGTGTTATAGATAATTAGAACAAAAAAATGTATCTATTTGATTGCGTGGATTGATGGCATTGATAAAATTGGCACGAAGATCATTTTTAAAGTTATACATGTCACATTCCAAATATCTTCTTTGGATGTTTTTCCAGGAAAAGATACAAATGATACAGTGTAATATGTATGAATCATTACATCCTTGTTGTTTGTCACTATTAAATAAAGATGAAATGTTCACTGCGTCTTGCTGGAAAGCACCATTTCTCTACATCATTTTCGATTTTCTAAGAATCTTGATGCATGACATTTTATAACTTATGGGCCTTTTACAATAGATTATTAGTCATAAATCAGAAGCTAAAAATTGATCCAATCACAGTTGTTAATTTTTAGTTTCTAACTTCTAATTTATGACTAATTGGTTTATTGTCGAAGGCCCATTAAATATGTTCTATTATACTTACTATTAATTGTAAGTTATAAAATCACAAAATTATTTTGATCCGGAACAGTTTGTTCGAATATTAATTAATTCAAAAATTGATAATTATTGCATATTTTAATTCCACATTGAACACGAATATTTTTTATACACTTCCGTTTTTTTGATACATATATTACAACATATATGACGAAAAAAAATAGCATGATTAAAAAATCTCAACGTTGCAATGCTTGTACATGAGTGATTATTAAGTCGAAAATGGAAATCATATTTTGTAGAAAAATACAATAAATAAATTACAATAAGTAAATTAATTATAGTGTTTTATTTTTTTAAATCTGGAGATGTAGTGTTTTAATGCTAAAATTATGCGATATTACAATTGCAATTACAAATTTTCAAAAGTATCTATATAATTTTATTATACCAATTGATTAATTTCATGTTTTCAAAAGCATCTATGTGTTTCTTTTTCATTAATTAATTCATCTCATCATTTTGTGCATAAAAATATTAAGATACAATTATCAAAAAATTAATAGTTTACGAAATATTTTATTTCATGTTAGATATGCCAGAATAAAATATCGCAAAATTAATTTTTGTTGCTCTAATATTTTATTACTTTTATATATAGTAAAAGAATGATTAAAAGGATTATTTTTAAAAATCATAAGTTTTATTTAAAAAATAGCAATGACCTTTATGTGTCCTTGAAAAATTAATTTAAAAAAAAATTGATTTTATTATTTTTTGTCCTTCCTTATGCCATATAACTATTAGTTGAAACAGTTTTGCTAAGCTCAGTTTTCGAAATGGCTGAATGATTTAATACATTCTATATAAAAGTTCATCATATTATATAATTCAATAGCATTATATAATTAGATATCTTTTTGAAACTATGGCAAAGATACTCAAAATTATTATAAGTATTTTAGGACATTATAAAACGCATGATCGTATCGATAACTTTGGGTGCATTCCACTTAATGTTTGCAACTTAATGATGTGCATCATCTCGTTTTTGTTTAATATTTAATTACAAGAAAGATGAAATGATACTCACGAAATGATACTGAACATTGCGAACGTTAAGTGAAATGCACTTTTAATATTTAATGATAATCGTTAGAAAATTAGAGATAGAGAGTTAGAGATTAAAGTTAGAGAATATGCTGATATCAATGGATTATTAACATTAATTATTTGAAGGCTTAACGCGTTAAACGCCGGATCAATTTTACATGACTTGCCAAAGCGCCAGAATGAATTTTTCGTTATACGATGCATATTACTGTAAAATATTATCTATAATATATATAAGTTAAACTGTATTATCATGTTTTTTATGCATTTGTCTTACTAGAGATCACTGATGCTTATAATATAGCGCTGTAATATCTTCTTTCGCGCTATATTTTACTTATTTTATTTATGACAGTCAAGCTATCTCGATTTCTTATTTTGCTTATTTTTGTTGTATCTGTCCAAGTAATAACTAATCTAACTAATACTATCCTTTTCTCCACGTTACATTAATTTTTGCATTTTATTTCCTATATTTAATTTTTTAAATAGCTCATCAAACAAAAATTGTGTTTCTATGAAAAATGCAAAGTAATAGGTAGAAAAAATGCGAAAAATACACAAAAAAATTGTCACGAATTGTTCAGATTTTCTATTGATTTATTTTACTTTTTCCTCTGTTTGTTTTAATACGATACGCGTTGCGATATCGCAACATGCGCATATAATAACATGCAATGATTATAAATAAAACTATTTTTATGTGTTTTATCATATATTAGTTTCTTTATATGATTGTAATAGTAATGGTAATATTTACTATTTTTGAAGTATTTGCTTTGAATTATGTATTTTTATTAATCTCAGCATCGCCGGTCACCGATAATATGCCTTATGGCACTCAACGTGCTAACTTTCTGTTTTAAAATTCTTTCTTCAAAACAATTTGTTTTTTGCGCTCGCGCGTTATCGAGATTATTTTTAATAATATTTAATAATTATGACATTAATTCTTGCTGAACATCGAATAATGATACAATAATAAAGCACGTAACAAATGGTAAAAACTTATATTTTTTTTACTATTTTTGTATAATTGAGCTTTTTTTTCCAGAATACATAATTAAATAAATATGGGTGTTCCGGCGGGTGATCCAGAAAAAGGAAAGAAGGTAATAAATAATGGCTGATCAGTTTTAATGCTTATGTGCTTCATTCTATCATATATGTTTAAATGTTGAAGAAAAATAGAATAAAACTTACAATGTGTGAGCGTCAAATCGAATTCATAAAGACAAAATTTGATAACTTTATAAACAATAATAAATATAACAATAATAATAATAATAATAATTTATTATAACATAATTGTGCATTTTTTTTCTTCTAGCTTTTTGTCCAAAGATGTGCACAATGTCATACTGTTGAAGCAGGTGGCAAACATAAAGTAGGTCCCAATTTACATGGATTAATAGGTAGAAAAACTGGCCAAGCGTCTGGTTATCTATATACCGATGCCAACAAAGCGAAAGGTATGTTTAGTTATTGACATACAGTTAAAAATGATAAATTTATAAATATTATAACATTAAACTCCTTTATTCTGTATTATTTATAACATCAATCATTATTTATTATTAGAATAAATACGTACATGTATACTTATATAATGCACATCTAATAATAATTATAATTCGCGTATTGCTATATTTTAGGTATCACTTGGAATAAGGATACTCTTTTCGAGTATCTAGAAAATCCAAAGAAATACATTCCCGGTACGAAGATGGTATTCGCCGGATTAAAGAAACCCCAAGAGCGGGCTGATCTTATAGCTTATTTGGAACAATCAACGAAATAAGCGCTTCCCTGCCACCGATCGCAGAAATTGTGAAGAACGCGAGTGAACACGCGAGATGCCTGGCATGAATCGCGATATTAGTACTATTATCATCTCATCATGTTTTATCATTTCACTCGTGTTCATCCCATGGACTCTCCTCTCGATGGTACTCAAAAGCAAATTCACAATACGTGTTTAAATAGTAATAAATTGTTATTGTATTGATAAGTAGATAATTGCAAATATGTACATGACGTGACAAAAGGGTCGAGCTAGCTCAATCCTTTTTTTCCTTTTTCATCACACCGAAGAGTTATTCTCAGGAGCGCTAATGCCCGCCATACGAGTGGTTGATCCACTTTTCTGCGGATCCTGCGTCCTTGATTATTTATTATCATTGTATCATGCAGTAAGTGTTGATCTGTAAATCAAAGAAATACAGACTAGGCAATTAAAACTTTGCAATTGTTCTATTTCTTTTCATTGAGTTGCGTGTAAAATCTTGATCGCTCGCAACAAATTAAAGTGAGCTCGATAATCGAATATTTACAAAGCGATTAAATGTCATTCATAGATTAAGATTAATTTTTGAGCTTTGATTGGATTAGATAAGTACTGTTGGAATATCATTTGAATAGCTTATCGCTTTCGCGAATCCATTCTATTATTAGACTTTCCTGCTTTACATTTACATTTAAGGATTTTAATCCAAATTGATAAAAACGAAGAAGGAAGGAAATGTGGTTAGCAACAGGAAGTTTGGCTCGATTGGGGTTTTACTCAATTCCTGAACAAAACTACATCCAGTCACTTAGTGTACCATTTTGATACAACACGTATGTGCGATTGACATACTTGAACAACGTATAATTTAGTATAATTTAGTGTATAAGTGATAATCAAAATACACGACAATTTTGATCGTCGACGATATTCGTGAAAAAGATTATAAATTTGAAACAAATTATTTTAATTCTAAATATAAATTATGATATTTTATTTTTTTTTAATTAAATAAGAGGTTCTTTATATTCAGTTAAAGCGGATCTTAGTGCTTAAAAATTTGTACGAATTTATATATATTTACAAAAAAAATAGCTACACACAGGATCTGGAAAAGATCATCAAAGATTTTCATTTTGTTAACGAAATAATTTTAAATAAATCACTCGCTAGCAGATCCTCCTTGTGGCTATTTATTCCTTTTTTTTTGTTTATACATATTTATAAAGCCACGTACAAAAAAAGAATTTATATATATTTCACAGTCAGTGTTAACTCAGTAAATATATACATTATAGTCTACTGCAGTGTCTGTTTATTAAAATTAATACTTTTATTGCAACATATATTGAAAGTAGGATATTAAGTTTATAAAGTAGGATATACTAACCGAGGCAATATTTTTCGTAGTAAAATTATTTTGCAGATGCTTATTTTCAACAAAAAATTATTAAATTGCTTGTAAATTTAATAAGTGATATTACTCTGATTCTGCCCATCATATTTCGAGACTGAAAAAGATTTCGATGCGCAGATTGCAGAATCAGACATTTATATAAATTTACAGAGAAATATTTAAACACATAAGATCCGCATTTACAATATGAACTCTTATTTAATTAGATTTATTTTCATCGGTCTAAATTCGTATCATATATTTTTTTAATTTTTCGCGTGCGATACATACATTCGATCGTATTGAATTTTTAAATCATGCATTTGAATTTTTTATTTTAAATATTTTAACGTCTTATAAATTTATAACTTAATAATTTTCCATTTTTTTACAATTTGATTATTATAGTATATCTATAAAGTATAAAGTGTTATATATTTCAAGGAATCGTAATCCGAGAATTATGACGAGTAATGAGTTGCCTAATGAGACCATTAGTGACAATTATGTTGCAAGATTCAAAGATAAGACATCCTTGAGATTACGTTTGGGTCGCATCTTCAGCTCTGGTGGGCTCAAAAGTCCCAAAAGTTCGAAAAGCGTATCAAGTTCGGGTGGCTCAAGCCCTAGTCATGGTAGTCCTCGCACCAGGACGAGATATTCCTGGCAGCCAGGGACCTACGCTGATGAAGAGAATCGATCACCTTGTACGCCGGAGAGTGGAATCTCGCTCTTATCATCTTCGACAAAGTCGTCACCGATCACGAACACGGCGAGCTCGCCCAAAAGTCCATTCACGCCGAAAAAATTGTGCTTTTCGATGTGGTATGCCGATAGGTAAGTTTGCGACTCCATTCGTGAAATTGATGTTATTACACTAATATTAATATATTTTAAGAATTTTAAGCAAATATTAATATATGTTAATATTATACATACAGAGTATTCGGTAAAAACCGTAACAACTCGCTCAGAATTTTTTTATCGATTTTTTTGAAAATATTAGAAGTGCATCATTTCCCTTTATTTGATAATACTTGACAAACAGACCTATCGCTACAATGAGTTTCGTTGAAATCAATTATTATTATGTAGGATCCTCTTTTTGTAGGAACTTTTTATAAGGAAATCCAATTCTAAGGACTTCCCCATACAACATAAAAGCTGACAGCAATATTGCTGCAACGTTTGCAATGTTATTACAATATTGCTGGAATATTGCAACGTCTTTGCTGGCAGCAATATTGTTGGAATGATCTGTATAGGTTACGTTGCAAATTATTACTAATCTGTGGATTATTATTTTGCAAGTACAGATTGTACAGGTTTTATATATGAAGCAAATTGTCACAACATATCGACAGTTTTAGAGCGCCGTATTGGATTAAGAAATGGCAAAGAACTCAATTTCGAAATTTTTTGTCGTTCTCGCATAAACTTCACCTTATAGACTTTAGGATCTTTTTAATGTAATTGTGAAGTTTAATAATATAACGACACAATCATTTATGGCATTTATGTCTTTTCATATATTGGAAAAAGTCTAAGAATAAATGTGGATATCGATCAGAGTGGATATGTTTGTGTAAAGCGCGCAACCATGCTTAATTTTAATTGCTTTCACGCAGTGGCGGATTTACGTATTTTGGCGCTTCTCTTATAATTGGCTCTCCTTTTAAAACGAGCAACTAAAAAAAAAAACTCACCTTACTTCTAATTTTCTTCCAAAAGCAAAGTTACTTGAACTAAGATTACAATTAAAGTTACATTTGTGAGGAACCGGGCCTTACTATTTATTGACTTTTACAAATTATGATAATACATGATATATATAACTAGGCAATAATTATTTGTTAAATCATTAGAAAAAAATTTGTTAAATCATTAGTCTTGTTTATTTTATTAGCCGACTTTATTTTAGACAGCCTTCACATTCGCATTCCTCTTGTATTTGCTGCTGCAAATTCATCAATTATCTATTCGTAATTCAATTTTTTTAATAATTTCGTGAATCGCTAATGCAGCGAAACCTTAATTTCTCTTGATATATATATTTGTACGTAAGTAAGTTTTTATCCTCTTAAACGAAAATGAACGTTCATCCGAACAGTTCGTTAATGGAATACCGTGACAAATTCTTGATGAAAATGACTTCAACAGACTTGTTTTTTTTAGATGAACTTCTTGCACGGTGCATTTTTTTCTCTTTCTCTCTCCAAGTAGAGAGAAAAGGAAGAAAGATAAATCGTGCAAAAACTTCAGCTAAAAAGAATAAATCTAATATTTGGATACATTTTATGTGGGTCGCCTTTAGAAAAATGACCCGGATAGGATGGAATCAGACTACGCATTTGAAAATTGAGATTGAAGATTGAAAATTGAAATGATCAATGAGAACAAAAGAATTTTAACTCCTATTTATTTTGATTGATTAAATTTCAATTTTTCAATCTTCAATTTCAATCTTTAATGTGTAGTCTAATTCCAGCCTTAGAAAGATGTCTCCTATAAGGCACGAGATTTGTGGTTTCTATCTAAATGTATTACTGCTCTCACGTTTCCCATTAAGATAATGGAAAAAAAATGAAATAATTCTTATAATAAGTGCTCAAAGTGCCTAAAAGTTTGTCGATAAGTAAAATAGCTGATCAAGGATTATCCAAAGATGCATCCATTCTGTTTTACATCTAATGCGCATGTTATTTAACATTCAGTAAACAACAAGGATAAAATGATATCTATATTATGTGTAAAAACACCTTGAATGAATTTGTCGTGCGATTATACTTTACACAGTTCGAATCAGGCAGAACAGATATATCTGACTAAGTACTAACAACAGATAATTGCTTGCAAGGCAAATAAAAGCACAATGAGAAAACGATGGAATTTTATGATTTTTCCGTTTAATCACACGATTTAGAAATGACTACTTTGCAAAAATTACATTAAGTTTCCTTGTAAACATAAAATTATATATCATGAAAAGAAATATGAAACTAAAAATATGGAACTCCACGAAAACACATGTTCTCGTTTTCTGAAATATCCTTGCGGGTTTTTAAGATTTGACCTGATTCAAGATGTATTTGATTGTCCTAAATAAACAAAAGATATAATTTTGCGTGGCGATACAAGGATCTTTTTTGAAGCGAATAAATTAATAATAAATCAATGATACAATAAAAGTTAATAGTATAAATTTCTGTGTTTTTGATAACCCAGACAGCACACAATATTTATAAAATATTTACAAAATATTTATAAATGTTCATAAGATTTATTTTAAATATTTTATAAATATTTTTGTGATTTTATATTGTACAGATTATAAACATTTATTAT